CGAACCGACAACAATTGAATCATATTCTATAGAAAATTACCAAATTTTAATCATTTGAAATTGGATAAATTTAGTTTGACTTTATTCTTATTGGTAGTTTATTTCTTGTTTTTGTTTTACAATATTTCTTAGTTTATGATGTACGACATTAAAAGAATGAAATAATTAAACAATATTAGATATTATTGTAATCAATAAATTATAATTTCAAAGATTCATGTAAATTATCTTAAAATAATTTTTATGGACTGATATTTTTTAACAATAAAATACAATTGATAATTAATACTCCGCAATTTTAATAATTTTATAATGTTACAACTGTTTTATGTTTTGGTAAAGTTTGCGCTAAAAGATCACAAAACCATACCGTTTTTAACAAACTTCTTGTCATTTCGAGATCACCGTCAAACTGAGCAAATAGAGAAGCTAAAATAGAAAATCATTCGAACGTTGCCATTTTTTTATTAGAACTGATAGACTCGCACAAGTTTTCGATAGAAGTACTACATCTTTGCATTATTGAAATTATAAGTATTTCGATAGGAACAACTGTTGCACTGCAGTAACATCGGAACGTTGCAGTTGACTTCTCTAGGAAGCGAGGTTCATCCAGAGAAACATCTTGTTATTCCTCGAACGTCCGAACAAAGAGTCTCGGTCCCGATGACTCAGTGATTCTTGACATAGCAAGGATTATCGATACTCGGAACACCTATAAAAGTGTCCCGTGGGGGAAGACACGGAGATACGATTTTTAACAGCGATAACTCAGCGTGGTTTCAAGAATCCGAAGGTAATTATTTTCTGAGAGGATCCTACAGGGCGCGAGGGTATCCAGCGTCTTTTTTACGACGGACAGTGTTGGCTTGGTCCCCCAGGAGGGAAGCTGGCTGTGCTTTGGCCGGAGGAATAGCCAGTGCTGAGGTCGTGGGCATACGATATCTGATGCAGAAAACCGGTAAAGGCCGAAGGCCGATGGAACCGGGAGGCGAGGGACGGCAAACGAAGAAGAAGGACCAAAAGCAAAGACACGATTGTGGGGGCCACGGCACATTGTCTTCGGGTGACTTAAAAATCCAACTCGTGCCTCGTTAACCGTCGTATCTGATACAACAAGCATAGACCCTCGAACGGAGTACACGACGTGTGCTTGTTTCCTTCTCCCTCTCGCGCCATCTTCGCTCCCCCTTCGTTCCGCTTTTTCTTTTTTCTTTTTTTTTTCTTTACCCGATCTTCCACCTTCCGCCGACTCGCCCACGTAACCTTGTGGCTTCTGAATGCGGATTACTACTCGGTAGCGTAACATCCAGGTGCCGCGGCGTTACTGGACACCGAAACCATTTAACGAGTATTTGCTAACTTTCCACCACCGCGTGCTGTTTAGAAATGTTCTTTTAGGAAATTGTAAGAGCATACCCAGATACACAGATCATCACTGGTTATGGCTGCATTTAGCTCTTTTGGATGTCTAATTTCTTTTGTCTTCAAATACTTTACGAAATATTTTTAGAGAATTTCGAGATCATATCCAACGAATTAGTAGTTATGGTATATTTAATTTTTTTTTTTTTTATTAAAATTAAGGGAAATGTTTAAAATATTAAAAAGTAAAATGTTTTGGAAAATTTTAGATCCAAATGCAGTTACTGTATCCAAATACTAGACTATCGTTCAATTTCCTGTTTACTAAAATTAAACGATAGTCTAGTTTCTTTTATTTTCAATGTGAATAGTATTTAAAATGAATTCAAAGAATTTTAAGACCATGTCCAATGTTTAGATAATTACTAGCTATAGCTACATTTAATTTCGTTTTTACTCAAACTAAATCAAAGCCTATTTTTATTGATTATAATTTCTTTTATTAAAAAATTTGTCGATATAAAACATTATACATAGCTATCAGTCATTCTAATATTGCTTAAAATTAAAATTATTAATTTTTAATATGTTTTTTTTTTTTAAATGTAGAATATATATACAAAGTATGGCCAAAAATATTGTACAAGTAAGAAAGCAATTCTTAGTATAAAAACAGATGAATATAATAGAATAAAATTTATTCATTCAAGATTTTGCAGAAAATTTTATATAGTACTTTTTATTTGCATGAATGGTCATTATTAAAGTTGCGAAAAAAATGAATAAATTTGTGGAAATATATTTCAATAAAATATATGTCAATATTAATTTCGTTAAATAATACATTTTTATGTTTTCAATAATTCTAAAGACAAAAGAATGTGTAATTTATCATGTTGAGAATAACATATTTTGTCTGAGCATAATTAATTCTATATTAAATAGAATAATTTATAAAAGCCTATAAATAATAATAAACATCTACACATAAATATAAATAATATTTAATATAATACAATATAAATAATTTATATAAAATTAAGTAATTTAACAATGTCATCGCAATTATAATAGCACTTGCATCAACAGTATGCTCGATTTAGTCTTCTCAATTACAGAACACATTTCACTCCATTTTTATCCATGAAAATTAATCGTAATACAAACTTCGCTTTGTTACAATAACGCATAATTTTTTAAATCCCCGTATAAATTCTTGTAATCATAATTCACTCGTAAGTGGCACGAAGGTAATAGGAGGCGCACGTTTCGATGCGTCTTTAAACTTTGCGAGAAGCGTTGCAAAAATATGTGCAAGAAAATAACAAGACCACTAAGTCGACAAAGCGAGACCACCTTCTTTCCCGAGACAATGTGTTCGCACTGCCCCATTACTTATTCTTTCTCACTTGGTAAAATTACAAGGTGAAGCTGAGGGTCTCCTCGGTTTCACTTCGGTTCACACGATTTGTATTCACGTTTGAGTAGTCGATTACTCGTGACGAAGTTCGTGGACGTTCTGCTGCCTCCTGAAAAATAACTGGGTATTTACTTCGTTTGAAATATGTTAACAATGATGGAAAATAATCCTGTTCTATTTTCTATACTGGTTACTCCGATGCAATCTACTGTCCTATTTTCAATTGACTACAAGCTACTCTTTCAAAGTACTTTTCCTCCCATTTAAAATTAATTTTCTGCCATTCTCGTTCCACAGCTGGATACGAATGGATGGTTAGTGAAGCTTAATTTAAACGCATTCAATGATGGAAAATGTTTTACTTTGTCTTTGCGTGATCTAATTACTCGTCGATTCGTTGATCTGCATTAATTGTTTTAAATCTAATTTTGCTCGATCGTTTTAGTAAATATTCATTTTTTGTCTTGTTAAAATGTTCGATTATATCAGTATTTTGTCTTTTCTTTCAATAAATATTAAATCTTTGTTTCATTTGTTTTATATATATATATGTGTGTTAACGTTGGTTTTGTCTTGTTTTTAATTGATGAAAATGCTCCCAAATAGAATAAAACAGAAATGATACGATTAAATGATAAATTAAAAAACTGTTTACATTTAATTGAAAAACCCGTGCAGATTGTAGTAATTCTTATTTCGATTAATAAAATTTGAGATTTATGCTTATTTAAAGTTTTATGCGTTTATTTTGAAACTAACTACGATGTATGTGAGCTTGGTAAATTTCGTACAGTTCAAATAATTTTATATTTGAAGAATAATTTACTGTAATAGTAAATATTAAAGATGTAAATATAATAAAAATCTGATAAAAATTATGTAGATAGAAGATTTATAGGAACCACACACGCTGGCTTAATTCTAACATAAAACGAAAGCATCTTTTGAATCATTATCTTTGGACTATACTTGATAGGTTCTTACTCACGAAATAGACCATTGATAGTTTTCGCTCTCGTGGATAATCGATAAAGTTTCACAATAATTAATTTTGTTACTTAAGAATACACTCTTTAGAAAATATAATAATTTCAATATTTTAAATAAGAAAATATTTAAGAATATAAAAATAATTTTCATCGAGTTCTAGAGTGAGTCAGTAATTTTAAGTTAAACTTAATTTTAATTCGTATCCTGTATTTCACATAATAAAGATTAATGATATTTATCGCACAAAATGTAGCACAATTAAAATTGAGTGACTTTCAAGTTCAAATCATTGTCAACTAATTCATATTATTCTGTTTCTTTCTGTCGAAAGGAAAAGATTTCACTCGATAATGAAATTTGAAATTATATTTAAAATTATAATATTTCAATAATTTTCATCGATACATCGACGTGTTTAATACAATGATAATATTGTTGAAAGAAATTATTTTTACTTCAAGAATCATTAAATAATTATTCCAAATATACATTGTGCTGCAGATTAGATTCAATTATGTTCATAAACATTCCATGTTAATGTTCGTTCTAAAAGTTATTAGTTATTACCTATATTTTTTCAATTTTAAGAACAAATATTGCACGCAATATCTTCCTCAGATATTAGAAAATATCTTGATATTTCAAAACCTACCTCAGCAATGAATTGAATGAACTCTCGTATTATTTTGTTATTAAAGAAAAAGAAATAAAAAAGAGAGTCTCGATGTTTTCTTTTATGTCAAGCAACGGTTAATGACAATTCAGAAGCTTTGATCAATAAAATATCTGCCGTGCTGTTGCAGGTCTCCAGGCGGAATTGTTTTACGTAAGAGAGGGCGTGATAAACGAGTACGCTATTAAATTCGTCGTGCCAGTGCCAGCGCAAGTTCACAAGCTACATTTCACTTGGGAGAATCTCGCCGGTAGGCCGGTAAGTTTTACAAAGGTCTCTCGCGCAGACCACTTTGATGTAATTTCTTTGAAATAATTCTTCTTAAACGATATGTATATATCTCGAGTAGGGAAAGGCGGTTGAAAAAGATCGTGAGTTTAAAGGCGCAAGAAAAAAACGCGAAACCCTCGCCACCGGTTAATGAAAGGGAACAGCTCTTAAAACGTAGCTTTCTAGTGTCTTCCGCGTGCTTTATTCCCAATTTACGTTCCTTTGACGACTCGGTGGTCGTCACTGAATCAAAGTCACCGTGGAGTGAACCATGATGAATTCGCTCGTTAACGAAAGGAATCCGCGTGATCGCGAGATCTCACGGACAAGAGCACCTCGCCGGGTGAATCCTTGATGAAAACGTTTCAAGCTTGGACGGCCACCGTGCAACTGTTCGAAGCCTTTACTCTCTTTCCTTATTCCCTCGTTCCTTTCCTCGTTCTTACGAGGCGTACTTATCTAGATTATCGAGGCATGTCGGTCCTTTCCGTTTCACAGATTCGTGCCATCAACCAATGGCGCAAGCACTCGTCCATGTACCCTTCGCTCGATTGTAAAGGAATTTATGGATCTTCTATACAGGCTGCTCCAGTTTTCGTGGTATAAGTGGGGGGAAAAAGTGACTCTACGTGAATAAATTTTTTCTCTAGGTTTTTGTTTCCTTGTTGGGATTGGGAAATCGTATATTATATTTATTACTAGTGGATATATATGTAAGGTGTATAGGGGGAAAACAGTCACAGGTTTTTCATTGATTGTAACATTTATTGAATTTTTATTTAATGAAGTAAATTTATACGATTTATAAATTTATTACATGAATTTTTTGAATTAATAAAGTAAATAGAAGATTTTTTTTATTTGGAATACAAAGAATCTCTACATTTTAGAAAGGCAAGGACATAATATTCTAATGTGAGAGAAAAGAGGTTATAATAAAGAAAAATGTTGGTAACCATTAGATTAAGCTTTCATTTTTGAGGAAATTGAGTTTGAAAATTTGTCAAGTATAGACATTTGATTTTTCTTAGTTCTTGATAAGATAGAAGCAAATAAACATGAGATTGAGGGTTTTACTGGTTTAAATATGTGAATGCATGTTTTACGTAATGTATGAAGTATTTGCAAATGAACAAAAGCTGGAATATTTTAGCATATTGTATAAATGAACATGTCTCTCAATGTATAGTATAACAAAAAGATATACAAAAATTAATATAGTGTAGCGAAATACCAAATTATAATAAGTACGTACAAAATACAAACGCACAAACTTTTGGTTAAATAAAATTAAAATTAAATCTTATCATATCCTAGAAAATTAAATTTGAAAATTCATTAATTACACGTAAATATTAATTTATTATTATGAACTATATTTTCTTGAAAACTTACCTTAAATAGCACAATTTTATTCTACATTCTTTATTTATTTTCAGAAATAATTAAATTAGCCAAAAAGCAAATTTGACAAATTTTCAAGCTTGGTTCTAAAATGGAAACTGAACTTAACTATTTAGTTAGATTATTATAGATAACTAGAGTAATTTAAAGTATTTAATTTTATTTTGAATTTTGCATTCTCTACGACTGAGATCAAATTAAATTAAAAATTTCAAAATTAGATAGTTGAACTTTCAATTTTTATAGCCTCAACAATGGTCCAATTACGTCAACTAAGAGTTAAATGGAAAAAATGTTATCCTTTTCTTTCAGTTTAGTTTTCCATATAGAATCTCTCTCCTTTCATTTGAACAACAAAAACTGAGACATCCTGTACAATTGATGAAGAACGCTTTTGTTCAAATCCTTGCAAATCCTCGCCCACCTGAGCTGTTCTCGAGAGAGAATTTTCAATAGTATATCGTAGGGATTAATATTGTGTTGGAGGGCACGAAATCAGTAATGGAAGAATGCCTTGCCGCGCAGAAATGAATAGAATTCATTTTTTATTCGTATCAACGAATGCATTGAAGCAAAGCGTAGCAGAACTCCATTTATCTGAAATCCATTTATTGAAACAAAATTTTAGCTTGTATACGACTAATTGAACTCTTGGCCTTTGAACTGATTCATTCGAATATGAATTTCTATTATTTGCGAGAGCGACTAGTGGGAAAATGAAGTTCTATCGCTATATGAATATGAATACACAGTTATTATGATTCGATTATATGTCGATGAGATTTGTTAAATGGAGTAGTACTATATACTTGTGAATATAGTTTACATCTGAAATATTTTCGACGTAATACTTGTTTAAGTTACATCAAGAAATTTTAATTGAAATTTATAAAAGAATATAAAAAAAAAAGAAATTTATCTAATAAACGATAAAAGTCAATTATGTTATATCTGTATATTTTTATCTGTTGCTTTATTATTTATAAAGTATAAATTATTCTCACACTTAAATAATTTAAACAATAATTTTATCATTATAACATTGTAGTAATTCAATTTTAAAAATATAAATTAAAATTATACAACTTTACTTACTATTTAATAGTTTAATGATTAAAGTTAATAAATTGTAGTGATAAAGTTTAAAGTCAGTAACTTCAATTTATAAAACTTTTTAGTGACTTATTAAACTATTAATACTAACTCTAATATTTAATTTGCTAACTCTAATTTGCAAAGGAGAAAAGAACGACTTAGAAGATAGAATTTATTTAATTCGCTAGATAGGTTAATAACTTTATAAATTATAATTTATAAATAAAAATTATAACGTTATTTTATATTCTATACATTAAAATTTAAATTACTTTATAAATTATAATTTATTATAAAATGTATAAATTGAAATTAATAACTTCCATGATTAAATAAATAAATTCCACCTTCCATATCATTCTTTTAATTTTTCTATTACTAATTTTACTAATTTTAATTATTTCAATTTAATTTTAATTTTAATTGTTATTATTTTAGTAAATTACTAAAAGTTTTTTAAATTGATATTACCGATTGGTATATACATCTATATTAATCACCATAAAGCTATAAATTTCTAAATACTATAAATTTCTTGTGAGTAGAAATTAAAGTTAGGTACTAACTTTATAAAAGTTAATCTGCACCTTAATATAAATATACAATTATACGCATATCTTCTTGTTCCTTTATTTACCGATTAATAATTAGTAGTAGTAATTATCCGTATATTAAAGATAATATGATATTATTGCTGGTGAGAAAAATTCATAGAAAACGACTAGAAGATACAGCGACGAATGAATTATATTAGCGTGTTGGGGTGAAAAATGCTTTTTACCGTTGGGCTCTCGTTGAGGACGATGGTACTTTGACAAAGTGGCGGCGAAAAGTGGACAGAATGCGGCACGGTGTCGGATTGACTCGTCGACGATGTGCAGAAAAAAAGGAAAAAAAGAAAGAACAGATCCGAGAGTAGGACAAAGTGGTCCAGCCACTTCTTCGAGTTGTCTCGCTGGAACGTAGAGGAAGAAGGAAAGGAAGAAAGACGGAGACTGATGGCCAGTGTCGAGACATCCGTCACCTCTGCGACAAAACCCAGTGTCCCGAATGCTACTAACAGACGTACCGGCTACCTGCCAATCAATTCACCACTTTTGAGCCACATCGGACCATTCTTTCGACAAATTCATTCCATTCCATGCATTGGGACGAGAATTTATGGAGTACCAGCGTATCGCTCGAGAAAGATTATATTTATGTAGTTTTTATTTTTAGTAAATGTTCACGCGTTTTTATACTTTTACGAATCTAAGGAATGAAGCTGGAACAAAATATGCTTCGTTAATCCCATTAATCCTGCTGTCGATCATCGGATTCTTATATTTCGATTTTATACTCGGCAAACAAAAATTTTAAATTAAATTATTTATAATATTT